TATTTTCATAGTTTGGACCATACCTTTTTTTCGCCATGTAATATTTATTCCTCAAGAAATAATACTACTTGGCTAGTGTTTTCAAAATTTCTTTTAATATGTTCTTCAATTAAGCTTTGTGGCTTTATTTAACTGGAAAATATTTCGCAAAATGTTATAATAATTAGATATTATGTTATGATATTCGGCAGTAGGAAATTGTCACGAACCTGAGGAGGATAAGGAGAGCTATCCTTCGACTATCACAAATGACGTCATTATTGACGGTTGTTTGGATAATAGACTGAACTCTAATTAAGCTATATAATGTGATGGATAAGGATTCTGGTTAAATCAGTTAATGCCTTGTCGAATTATTGATTTTCTGATAATATCTCATAAGTCTTATAACTTAAAATTAGACTTTTGACAGTCAAAAGCTTTTGGTTAAACCTAAACTACCGACAATGCTGTAAAAAATTCCGACGACTGTAAAAAATTCCGGATCAAATTATATTAAATACCGGCACTTTGGGTACATCATCCGTAAAATACATTTTTACCGTAAAATATTATACCGTTAATTTGATCTGGAATTTTTTGCAATTTAGAATTAGGTCTATTGTTTGTATTTTATTAAGTAAAATAATGTAAACACATGATCGAAAACATATCATATAAAACTATTGCACATTTTAAAACTCTGTAATTGATAATAACGTTTTTTTTGTTCAATAACGGTTGAGCAAAATACAATATTCATCTCATTATTACAATGAAACAATGAAGCAGACTTCTAAATAGTGCAGTGCTTTTTGAAATGACGCAAGTAATAACTCCACGTTTAGTATATACTGAGATGTGTGCACGTTTGGAGATATAATATCTCAACTGTATGAATGTTATATGTTTGAATAAAGAATTAAAAATAGTAATATTTTAGAATCAAACCATCAAGATCTTATTTAGAAGTTGGAAAAAATTTACTCCTGATTAGCAATAAAAAAGTTCAAAAGTAAAACGTAAAAAGTTCTACTTTTAAGGTACGGCTAATAAAAAAAATTAAATGTAGCGAGAGAAAATGAAATTAATTTTAAATATTTTCTTTTTGAAACTATATTTGGTCATAAATGTTTTCTACAATATAGTCTTTCTCAAGAATATTTCTTAGCTTTTATGCATTTACATTATTACTAGAGGAAGGGGGCAATTTAGCTGCAACCAATATACTAAGCCATATGGTGCGAAGTTTTACAATTGTAGTAGTGCATTCAGAAGCAATATTCCTGTAGTAAAACGTGAAACTAAACCCAAGGTTCTAGGAATTATTTAGTGAGACATTGAACAAAGTTCTAAGTTCGAAGGAAAACTAATGTTTAGGTGAAATATTCAACTAAGTTTAAAGTTTTTCTTCAGACATATTTACGGTGAGATGTTGAACCAAGTTTCAGGTTTTACTTTATACCTATTTCAAATTGAAAATGTTAAGGCTTTTAAAGATTATAGCAATGTGTATCGCATTGTGAAAAAAATCACCTTTGCTAATTTATCTGATTCCCACCAATATGAAGTTGGTTGGGATTCAAGCCGTCACTGAGGATTGAACCCCGGCCTTTCAGTGACAACTCAGTATCCTCACTAAGCCATCGCGACTTGAATCTTGCGCAAACACCTAATTGTGTTCCTATGGTTGCAAGATCAGAACTTAAATGCACAAATAATTCTTGATCTCGTTTTATTATTAATGCATAATTTTACTCGTAGTACTTTAAATTTCAAACTTTTTGTATATCATATTTTAAATTTTAGACCTTGTATTTACATTTTTTATGTTTTAAACACCGCTTTCCATTTTACTCAACACTTTTTAAATGTTGCTCGGCTGGTTGTTTTACACTGGTATGATATTGATTTTAACTGTTAATTATTTAACTTTTAAATTATTTTAATTTTTATACACAATTAGCTTTTACCTTTGATTTTGTATACCACTTTTTTTGGTATTCGTCAAAACACGCTTTTGAATATTGATTTGCAAACATTTTAAAATTTTAAATGAATTTTATAATATTCACGTCCCTTTTGGACAAATATATTTCAATGATTTTAATCTTAGGGTATATTTTATCTATTCTTGTTATTTTATCAATTTTGTCTTTTTACATCTTTATCCTATCTTTTATACACAAATAATTTTATACCTTGAAATTTTATGCATGTTAATGGCTTTGTACAGTCGATTTCTTTTTTTTTAACATAATGTTTTAAAATTGTAATGTTTTTACAATTTCCATTTTTACTGATTTTACAAATTTTATGTCCTTTTGGACAGGCTTGTACTAATGTGTACTTTTACCATGTGTGTAATTCTTAACTATTTTCTTTTACCCAGCAACTAGCTCTAGCTCTCAATTCGATCCTATTGATACCTTTATTCAAGTGTAGTATCTAATAGGAAAAAATGGGTTCGTGATGTTAGATATTTTTCGTTACTATAAGGGTCTGTTGGCCTGAACGTAACAACACCAAACACGACCAATATTGTTTTAGTTTATTTTTTGTTAAATTTTTGAACGATATGTTAAATTATAAGGGTCCGTTAACCTTCTTTCTGATGTATTTCAATGTTTTCGAGGCTTGTTGCCATCGCTGTTCATGTAAAATTTTTAACATTATTTCTATATACTTGGTGTCAAATTAAAAAATTGATGTTCCATTGTATTCGACGAATGGGCCTATAGGCCTAGGCCGCTGTAAAATTTTCCATTATTAATGCATAGCAATTAATGAATGCCATTTTTAATTCAAATTAAAAACGATTGAAAATTTTAAAAAATTGAACACTTTAATCACAATCGCGGACTATCTGCCTTTAATATGGTTGCAGTTACATCAAGTAGGGTTGAATCAAAGACTGTATAATAGGAACACGGGTTATATGGGCTAATAGGTTATACGGGTTATATTCATTGGTTGAACTGTTGAACCCACCATTCTGGTGCTTAAATTACATCCATACGTTAAACCAACCTAACTGTGAAATCACTTCAAGAATACTTAAAGGCATTTTTAATAAACTGGTGTAAGAAATTAAGAAAATTTGCAGACTTGGTCAATTATTTCTAGAACTACCGGACCAATTTTAATGAAATTTGATATGTACGTACATTAATACAACACAAAATAAATAACCCTTCAACAATTGTAATACGCAAGCATGATCGAGCGTAACGCTCTTTGGAGTTGGAGGGTATGAAATTACCACATTACAATTCAGGCCAATCGCCCCAGGCAATGGTAAACTGTCTTATTTCAAGTATGAAATCACGCTGCAAGGCATGAGGAAGACATAAGAGGGAACCATACCTCCTATTTAATCCATTTTTAATTATTCCGCAACTGCTGTTTCATACCTTCCGACTTCAACGAGTGTTACGAATGATCATGAGTGTGTATTACAATTGTTGAACGGTTATTTGTTTTGTATTGTATTAATGTATGTACATATTAAATTTTATTAAAATCGGTAAGGTAGTTCTAGAGATATTCGACAAAGTCTGCAAATTCTCTTCATTTCCTACACGAGTGTATAAGGTAATTTTAAAAAGGTATTCGACTATCCCACTTACAGTATTTCGAAGATTTCCTTAAATATTCTGATGAAAATCTGAAAGTATTTGGCCCACTTATGAAACTTTTGATTGTCTACAGATTTTGTTTTGTGGATAAATTACAAGTTAAAACATTGGATCTCTGAAAATTTCATGTAAAATAAAAGTTTAAAAAGCAAACTTAACAACTGAGCTTGAAAATTATACAGCCCAACATTAAAAAAAAAATCATGCCCGAGGTATGAAAAAATTCTGATTAAGCATGCATTCTTTACCTTTACATGCCATGACAGAGATACCTTAAAATACCGATTAAATACTACCTGAAATTTTGATTATACTGGTTAAACGAATAACGCTGGGGAACAAATTTTTCGTTTCATTTATACAAATACCTGATCTTGTCTAATTCAAGTGTTGGGATTTCAAAAATGAAAATAGTTTTGTTCCTAAAGAAACAGATTTTTTAAAAAGTGGTATTTTTAGCATATGTTTCGTTGAATTGCAGTAGTTTAAAAACTTTATATATAACAGGGGGTCGCGTAATTGTTGCTAAAAATTCCAGGAGAGATAGTGCGCATCATCAAGAATAAAATTACATTACAATCCATACCCGGATTCCTATTATGACCAATTGAGAAGCAGACGTATGAACAATTCATAATAAGGTGACGCTCCTATTGGCGTATAACGACATTTCCGGGCATAGATTCATACGCAATTTTAATCCTGATACTGTGCTCTAACTCACCTAGAAGTTTGTCGCAACATTTATGCGACCACCTATTTAATACAACGTTTTTAAACTTGTACATTTCGGCAAAAAACTATACTAAAATTGTCATTCAAAGGGGAAAAATCTGTAGCTCTGGAGGAGAAACTGATTGCAGATTTTAAATCAGTGACGTAGTAATTTCTAAGTTTCGTTAAAAAATCTCATTTAACAGAAAGAAAAAAAATTTTCCCTATGTAATTCATGTAAAATTTTGATGTTAGACAAAGTTTCTTTTTTCTTCTCCTTTTATTTTCCAAATTATTCCTACTTCGATTAAAAAAAGGTTTTTCCAGGCAGCCGCACACAAAAAATATTATATATAAAAGTTGAAAGCAAAAGCGAGAGCGATATTTTTTTTAATTAACTTAACATCTGTTTCATATCTTCAAAGAGTTCTGAAAATATCAGAACCAGGAATTTCAATGACCAAATATCTTCAAAAAACCAGATGATGTATAAAAAAAAAAAAAAAGGTTTTCAGAATATCTTAAGTTTCGGAAGAAAATGGCTTTTTCTGAAGAAAATCTTAAAATAATTTTTAGAGGTGTAGTTTAGAACCTTTTTTGTAATGAACATATTTGCATTATATGTCATATTTATGATCAAAATAAACAATAATTCAAAACAAATATGAATCGAATAAACAAAAAATTTATTTAAATTATAAATATCACATACACTTCTCATTAACAATGCTTAATAAAATATTTAAAAATAAGGAACAATTGCATCTGAGAGTTGAAAACAATAAAACAAAAAACAATTTGAAAAAGTGAATTAGTGATATGCACAGATCTCATATTCTTTTCTCTAATTTCTTCTTTTGGTGATTATTATTTTAGAGTAATTACACACATACATAATTCGAAAATCGTGTTTCAAATGTAACAAAAAAATATAACGAAATCAAGCGCAACAATCAGCATTTGCTTCAATTTGTGTTCTTGGCTGCTTGATTCTGGAAAAGAAAATATACAAATGTAAATTTTAATGACAAAACTTATTAAATATTTTCCAGAGTTAATTTGCATTTATAAGAGGGATTAATGTTTAGAATTTGTTATTAGGAATTTTATTATAATAAAGGATTTTAATTAAACCTTAACCCTTTGACGCAGAAATTTTATTAAACGTATTTTTATTACCGTGTTTCTTTATTTTGTATTAATTTAGATGAAAATAGTTCAAAATATTTCACTTAGCATTTTAATAATGTATGGTTATGAAATACAAGAAACACCGGTGTTTTTTTCATCTGCGTTAACGGTAAAATCTTCCAAACAATAATTTCTCAAATTTGCAATTATATAGACCTAAAAGAAAATTATTTATCATTGAAATTTCCTTATTTTACAAAATCTATTATTGATATATTTTTGAATATGAATGGAAAAAAAATTTGAACTCATTTAGGGGGGGGGATTTTACATTTTACTATCAATTTCACCGATAATAGATTTTTTTAATAACTATTAAGATCGCTTTTTTACAATTAAAAAATACCAAGATATGGTTTTGCTTGTTATATGAGAGCCGGAAAAAAAGATATATTAGAGGGGCACCGGTGTTCCATCTGCGTCAAAGGTTTAAATAACAGTTTATTATTTCATTTTCAGTATTTATATGAATCATTCTCCTCCCATAAGAGCCGTGGTTCAAATCGCAACGAGCTGGTATATACGAAATTTGCTTTCGTCTCGTAGTGGATAAATGTCGGTCTGCACCTGGTTAAATATCTCTTTTGGTTGATGGATCATGGGTCAGAATCTCCTTGCAATCTGGTTAAACGCTTGAGGTTTACTAGGTTTTCCTCACCATGTTACAGAAATGCGGATTAGTAATGCTAGATTATCCATTGATTGACCAGAATTTCTCTTGTCTTCTGGGGTTAAAAATTTTAAGGCTACGAAGTTGGACCTCGACAATCCTTAACTCAATAATGGGTCATCAATCCACAGCTGTTTATGAAATGAAATAAAATGCAGGAATTTTGGAACATCTTTTACAAGTCCTAGTAATATTTGCAACGATCAGTTTATTTTTTACTAACAAAATATTTATTTTAATGTTACAAAAATTTAATTTCTCGTGTGATTATATTTGTCTAAAAGTACCACCCTTCAAAACAGAAAAGTTGAAGTTCGGGTCGATTGTCTAACAAAAATTAAATTCCTTGTCTGTGGTTTGAGACATTTACTAACAGGCAGGAGTCATGGTTCTTTTTTATTGACGACAAATTTATTGGCATTGTTTGCGAGATTGGCTTTTCGTGTTTGGCGGAGAAAAAGTTTGTTAAAACGTGACGTCACGTTGACGTCATAACTGACTTTAATCAATACAGATTCGGTTTGAAGTGCTAAAAAATTCAACTTGTTCCCAACTTCTTTTGAATGAGACATTTATTCTATGAAAAGTTAATAAATCTTTTCACATTTAATTCTATCAGATTCTTTGATGTCTGAAGTAAAAAGTATAGATTTTCAAAAATATTCTTTAATAGGTAAAAACTTGAAAATATATTTTGCAAGTTAAAAGACTATTATTATTTTTTTTATAATATGTTTCACATCCAAAATCTACTTCTTATTTTACGGTCGAAAGGGTTTTACAAAATCTACTTCCTATTTTGAGGTCATGATTTGAATTTTTCACTCTTTTTATTGTTGTAAAATATTATGAACGAAAAGAATAAGGCAATGTATAGCTGACATTTTCAAGAAATTGAAAATGGAATAATACATGACTTAGCAATATATTTTCATTTTTGAGCAATATTTTTGGCATTTTCGAGTTATTTCCTGGTCGTGTAATTTCCCGTTTTGGTAAATAAAATTGGCCACCTAGATTATGTGATTTAAGAGTATGTAGCATTTTTATTGATTTCTTTTTTTTATTTTTATAATGTCTAAAGGTTTTGTTAACAATACCATAACACCCCATTTTTTGAAATGGAAATTGAACGTTGTATCAATGAAATTCAACTAGTACATTAAAAAAAAATATCGATAAAAAAATGTGACTAAATAGTTTGTAATTTAAGCAATATTTCGAACATATTTGCCCGACATGCTATTTCATATATTATCTGCCTTTTACTCTATAATTTCTGAATAATAAAACATACCTTTTTCTAATAAAATCCTAATATACTGTACATTAATTAATTAAGCATTAATTAATTTTTTTGTTCATACGGTTACGATTTACTGGAAATTTTGGTTATAAAAATTATAGTTCTTATAACCAAATACTTAGTAAAAAATGCAAAACTGAAAAACAAATTTAACCGAAAAAGTGATTTTAATGCCACTCTCTACGGCAGTGATATTCAAAAGTTGTTCCGAAAATTAAGATAATTTTAACCAATAATAATAATATGTATATATAATCAATCATCTATAATTTATTTAATATTTATCTTGTTTATATCAACTTTTTTATCTAAAATGTGAATGAAAAAAGTGGCAAATTTTAAAACATATATATTTTTTTTCATTGAATAAATTATGAGAAGAACATGCATGCATACAAATTTTATAAATATTTCTCATCGAGCTTCTGAATTCAAAATAAAATAACTGAATTCCAGAATAAAGAATTATGTTTTTCTTTCTAATAACTATTCTCATCCTTTATAAAAGTTCTTTTTTAAAAACCGTAATTCATCTTACTTCAATTCTTTTCAGCCTGTGCATACAGCAAGAAAAATTCATAACAATTTCCTTCTACATTTTAAATAGTTTCAAAATGATTAAAAGTCTTTTTTTTATTAGCATGTTCACAGATGCTTCACACACTTTTTCTAATAACAATGAAAGCTCCACCAAAAAAAGCTGGATCATTTAGGACTCCATAGCCGATAAAAATTGGGAACCGCTGCTCTAAGGTATCATGATAAAATTATCAAATTTTACGACTTTTACCAAATTTTATGACATAGTACAAACCATATTTTATTTTTAATATAACAAAATCATTACCAAAGCACTTCGGTAAATAAAGCTTTTTGGTGTCCCTATAGGAACCCTATACGAGTCCCTATAGAAACACGATAAATTTTTTCAAATTCTGGTAGTTTTGACCATACTTTTTTTTCTCAGCGTGGAAATTATTTAATTTACTTTTATTTTATTCGAAATACTTTCTTGAACAATTTTGAAATGTGGCTAATAATTATATTTCCCTAAGACCAAAAATTGCATTTACTAAATAGTTTTATGTATATAAATTAAATAAACATATTGAGTAATAAATGAGAAAAGAGGAAATAATTTTTCAGATAGACTATGCACTTTCTTGTGGTCAGTAAAGCACTCTACATTTTCAAAAAATGAAGCTATTTCTTAAAATTTCTGTATCTAGATTTTTAAAGATATTGCTGATAGTTAGTGCAGAACGGGACTGATTTACAGATGCGAAACGAAAGATATTTTTTTTAAAAATATGCTAGCGTCATATTTTCAGAATCATTCCTTTAAATACATAAAAAATATTTATTTTCATATTTAAACTTAATAATATAAACTATTTATTCTCATATTTAAACTTCCTATATTCATAAAATCGCTTTATAAATGTATTTCGCATTTAAATATATGAATAACCTTTTTATAATCTTCTTTTTAAAAGCCATCTTCTCACATTAATTAGTAATACACTGTAAAATGGATATGAAAATATCACAAAAATTTCTTCGATTTTGACGAAACAGTATATGCTCCGCTCAAAAATTTCGTCAAAGTGACGAAATAATTATTGGCACTTCTTCGAGGAAACGAATTTCGTCAAAGTTAAGGAATATTTCTTCTCTATATGCTTTTTCCAAAAAAAAAAAAAAAANAAAAAAAAAAACCATCGTTGTGCCTAATGTATCTAAATTATTTTAATAATCACGTTATCGTGGAGGGCATCGTATAGGTGACACAACACAACAAGAACTGATAGAAAAATTACTCCCATGTCAACAGGATACCGTAGGGAATTGTTTGAAATCCTTTTATTCAGTAAAATTCCGTATTTTTTAGTACTTTTTCATTTTTGTAATTTGTATTAATTGTGTAGTTATAAAAACTATAATTATGAGAATCAGAATTTCCAATAAACCCTTACAAATGAGCGGAAAAATTAACAAATGGTTAGTTTAAATATTGTATATTTTGTTTTTACTGACCAGAATTGTTTTTATTTTTTTATTTATTTAAAAAAGAGAAATGCCATTACCATACTGTACGGTAATTTTACCGGAAGGTTTTCTCCGAGTTGATTTTAAATTTGATATAAATTTCAACAATCAACAAAATTATATTAAAACATTCTGAGAAAATTTAGCCAGAAATTCGTGCTTTTCCTTCAGTTTTATTATAAGTGTCAAAAAATCTGTCCGCTATTTTCTTTCTGAAAACTCTAATAATGTTATTTCCATAACGTATCAGTATAAACTTGAAATCATGATAAATTACATTTCACTTCTTTACTTTAAATGAAATTTGTTTCCTTCGCTTTTTTTCAACATGTTCTGCAAAAGAAGTTATAGTTACTTCATTTTTTTTTCAAACGTTTATCTAAATTGTCTGTAACTATTCCCGTCTATAGCTTTCTGAAGCTAGATTACATCAGATTTAAAATGGCAACTGTTTTTATACCATAACGTCTGAAAATTCAAAATTATAATAATATGTTTGAATGTATAAAATTGAAATTCAAATATGAATGTCAAGGTTGAAATTTCTTTGTAATTTTATTCTTTTGTATTAAATATTTTATTTTTATGATTTTTTTCTTAATATTATAATTTGATTGAAAAACCTGAAACGAAAAAAAGTTAATCATCTTCCCAGATAATTTTTAAAAAAATGTCTTTCACCCTTTTTCTATATTGCTACGAAATGTATTAAATATCGACACGTGTTGGTAATTGTGTTAAAAAATAATTAGTTTACTACTTAATAGAAAATTACT